TGAAGGAGGGGATAGGTGGGAAGAAGGGATCATAGCAGTTATGGGAAAACAAGCACTGACTTCTCTCTGTGTTTTTCCCATATACATTTCCAATATCAGATAATTATATTCTTATGCCAGTGAGACAGCATGCAGTGGGAGGGGGGAAAGGAAATTTTAAATACAGTTGACATTAGAATTTTACATCCTGATTGTGAGGTCAGAGGCAAATAATAGTGATATCAGTATGATAGAAATGTTGTATGTATTTTTTTTTATAAACAACTTCAGTGTGTTTTATTCCACTTACGGTTATAGTATGATACCTTGTTAAAACTTTTTCTGAAATGAAGCATATTACAACATATTTGTGAACCATATATAATCATGTTATCAAGCACATTTATTTACTTCACTAAAACAAATTTAAATTTTTTTTTTATTAATTCTTTTTTGTATTTACTTTTATCACAAGTTAAGTCAAATCAAACCTTGTTGTTATCTATCTGGTCAGAGAGTTTGAATCTGATTACATGCTTTAAGTGAAGGCATTAAAACTGAGAGTAATTGTGGCTTTTAATACATTCTTAGAGCTGAAAGATTTTCAGTGGAGTTCTGGCAATCTCAGCAGCAAGCCCAGGGCAGGCAGTGGGGGGCAAAATCTGTGGAGCTTGTTATACTGTGAAGAGCAGAAGCAGGAGAAGGGAGTGGATTTGCACAAATACTTAAAATAGTTTTTCTTCTAGAGAAATAAAAATGACACTTCTTGGAAGACAAATTTCTTTTGGGGCTGTGTCAGCTTCCAGTGTGTATAAATGTGAAGTTGTAGTGTCCAAAGAGCATAGTTATACTAATGACTAAAGTGTTTCATTCGGTATTTCTCCAAAAGCTAAAGTTGGCCTGTGCTGTCACATAAGTGTATATATAGTACTTTTTTATTTGAAATGAACGTTTTTATTTTTTAATTGGGCTTTGCATTTAGTTCTGCATTAACTTGTATGTAAGAGGTCTTATGACCGTGTGGCTAAATCTACGCAATGAGCTCAGAAATGGTGACAAACTCCAGTTGAGTTAAAACCTCTGTTTCAGTGCTTTGCATTGTTAATAACTTGGCTATTTGTTATATGCTCCATTTCAAATCTCAAAAAGGGCAGAGTCCTTTTTGTGGTTTTAAACATCTTTGCAAGTCTTTGCTTAAAAATTAGTCCATTATATAGCAAGTGGTCAACTCTTTGATGCTTTTTGTGGCTGAGCATTAAATTCCTGATGATGGACCATGATTCATTACAGTAACAAACTTGAAGGTTTATACCTGCTGTGTGCTGTGGGAGACCCTGGTAGGTTACCTGAGGAGAGCTATGCAGTTTTATATTTGAAATCAACGTGTCTCATTCAAAGCAGGAGTTTGGGGACCTGTCTAAAAATATGCCCAAAAAGTGATGTAATTGGCCACAGGCCAGCATTGTGGTATGGAAGTGTTTCCATTCTGCTTTCAGATTGGTATAACAAATGCTTAAATGAAAAAAAAATGTTGTGGTTCTGATTCTAGCAATTGCTGTCATAAAAACTCTGTTTAAAAGAGGAATGGAAAGGTTTTACCTCACCAGCTCTCCAAATAGCACTGTTCATGATACTAGGGCTGCTTTCTTCTAAGCATATTGCCATATTTCCTGTAATGTACGCAGCAAGTTTTCTTTTGCACCAAATTTCTTTTTGTGCACCAGTTTTCTTTCTCAGTATTAAAACCTGGGTTCCCAACAGCTTTTGCACAGGCTTCTACTTGAAGAACCTGGTCCAAAGCTTTCAGAAGTCAGGAGGACTTTTTCCCACTGCTGTAATAGCTGAAGGGATGGGGCTTTGAGTGCTCAGTGTTATTTGTGTGTAGTGATTTTCAGTGGGAGCAAAGCACTGGGCACTCCAGTAGCAGCTGCTTGTGTCTAGCCATCCCACACCCCTGCTCTCAGATGTCTCTGTTCCCTTTTCCAAAGAAAGTAACCATCTTTACCAGTAGATGTCCCTTGCCATTTTCTTTCACCACAGAAATATGAGCAGGAAAACTAATGGCTGAGCATTTCTTCAGGTATCACAGAGTTTGCAGTTTCACTGCTAACAATAAATTAAAGGTCCTGGAGTGATACATACAAAATTATGGGAATTCTGTTTTCCACAGGTAAACCTTTTTTTGACCAAAAATGGTAGATAATCCACAAAATATGATAGAGAAGCTACAATGCTTTTAAAGCAACACTTAAAACATCAAAATAGAGATGCGGCTGGTGGCTGCAAACCAAATCAAAAAACACTCTAAAAAAAAAAAAAAATCTGTCATAATTTCATACACTTGATAAGTAGAATAGATCAAAGGATTAAAGTTTGCATGACAGAATATCTGCCTTCTGGTGGGGGTTGTATTTAACATAGAGAGGCATAACAGGTGTTAACGTATTTCTTTAGGCATCCTGGTGATTTATGGGCCAGACTTATTAAAAACTTAGGTCTCTTGTACAGTGGCCTCATCTTCTTGACAGTGATTACTGTGTTGGGATTTATTCACCTCTCTTCTGATACTTGGCATGGATTAGTATAGAGCGGTTTGAACATCTGGCCTGGTTCTGTGCATTTTTCTATATATGCAAAATATTCCTCTCATTAACTCCCAAAAAATGAACCAGAAAGTCAGGCCAAGTCTGGCTGTCAGTCCTCTTAGCCATAGCTGCCAAGGAGGCCTGAGTGGTGGCAACAGTAACAAGGTCCATCAACCAGCTGGAGATCAAGGCAACAAAGCCAGGTAATGACTGAAATCTGGGGTTTGTCCAGGAGGACCAGGGCAGGGCTCAGGCCTCCCTTCAATGCAGCTCAGGCAGGGCTTGGGCCATGACAGCCTCAGAGTGACCTCCAGGTGGGAGCCGGGGGGCTGTCCAGGGGATGGTCAGGGCCGCCAGAGCCTGTTGGAGCACTCAGACCCTGACAATTAGGTGTGGATTCCCCTGCACATAACACATGCCTGGGAAACCTCTCCTTCATAAGATGCCCTGGGGGGTTAAACAGTCATCCAACACTTCTGTCCAGACAATGAACATGATCACTGGTTTTCTAAAGTAGTTGCTGAAGAATATATTTTCTCTCCCGTAAAAAACACCCTGTCAGACTGCTACAGAACAGTAATGTTTTGCAAAGCAAGAGATCTCTCTCTAGATGTTATTTCTCCTGTGCACATTTATGGTTTTAAGGTGCAGATTTACCCGTGTTCTTTACCAGCCCCCTTCTGAAACTATTAGCAGTTCTGTTGTTTCACTGATTTTATTCTCACCTCTTAGTTCTTTCACACTGTATCACTGATCTCAAATTCTTCTTCCATCTCTGCTAATTGCACTTTACCCAGGTAGAATTACAGGTTGGAATGTCTCATCCTTACCCAAATACTTACGATTCCATGAGCTCACAGAATGGATTGCACAGTGCTATGTCCCAGCTGATAAATGCAGTCCCCCATAGCAGCCTGAACTCCAAAAATCTGTCCAATCGTATTCACTCCACTGTGAACCTTGTTGGCAGGTCATTTTTGCTCATGTCCCATCAGAGTGTCTGATTGGGGTTTTTGTCTTGCTGTTGTCCTGTCACTGAATAGGGGAAGAAACTGGGGATTAAAGGGAATTAAATATACTGGAAAAGAATAAATTCCTACTGGCCTGCAGAAAAGCTTATTTTTTTCTTGGTAATAGATAACAATGTTGTTTATTCTTTTGCATTTGACAAAACTGAACATAACAGAATGCATGGGAGAAGTAATTGGGTAGTCAGTTTTCTTAACACCAGAAAAGAGTCAAGAAACACTGTGGTGCATTAGAGATGTATATGGATTAGTTAGAAAAGGTCCTTACACTGTTTAAAAGCGAAAATGCAGAGGTCAGTTTCCTTAAAACTGCATTTGTTATTTTAGACTAAAGTCTTTCTGCATCAGAGACTGACAGGGAAGACAGTAAATAAAATTAATGCAGACAAGTTGGAAAGATGGCCTGAAAAAAAATAACAGATGTAATGCACATGGTACAGGTGCAAGCTATTACATCTTTCAGGAATAATCAGCTGCATAAATACAGGATGGGTACAAGTTGGTCTGATAGCAGTTCTGAAAAGTTTCTGGAAGCTTGTAGTAGATTACAAGGTGAACTTGAGTTCACGGTATTGTGTAAAAGATAAACACCATACACAGTTACACATGCAGAGGATTACAGCTTGGGAAGCACACATAAGCTCTCTGCTGCCTTCACTACCTTTGCTCTGGCAGCCTTATTGCTTGTTGCCACTTATTGCATCAAGTATTAAGGAACCCTGTTTCAAAATTAGTGGAAATGGAGAAAACTCAGAGGACAGTGATAAGAATAATCAGGGTCAAGAAGACACAGCCTTTGTGGAATGATTGATTTTTTTCAGGGTAGTTTTAGCCTAGAGAAGATAGAAATCCCAGTATGCAAAAAGCGTACAAACAAGGCTGAAGCAGATGTTAAAATGAATTATCTCCTTTCTGTGATGAAGAGGGCAGTATGTAATGAGGTGAAGTGTTAGCAATGCATTTTCAGGCTAGATATTTTTGGAAAATCTTGCTAATGGTAAAGGTAACGAAGCACTGGAATAAATTACCCAGAGAGACTGAAAAGTCTCTGTGATTGGAAGTCTTTTAAGAAGGAATCATACAGATGTCTGTCAGACATGACAGTGTTGATCTTGTTTTGGATGACAAGGATGGCTTAGACCTCTGGAATTCACTGCCAGCCTCGTGACTTAGTGGTTGCGATAAGCAGTGATAGGTCACTTTGCTTAGCTGGACCTGTTAACACTTCTCTTTCTTGCTCAAGACCATGGAGCTCTACTATTGAATTTCCAATTTCAGTTGCCTTCTATTCCTTTTTTTCTCCTCAGGTGTACACTCAACTGCAGAATTAACACCTCTTCTCATATTTACGAATCAGGTTTATGTGATAATTAATCCACTGAGAAAAATATTAAACTTTTTTTTATAGATTTATTTGAAAAGCAGTGACCTCGGAAGCTCTGTGGATGAAGTAGAGCAACTGATAAGGAAACATGAGGCTTTTGAGAAGCTTCTGACATCACAGGATGAGAAGGTACAAAAATCAACAAGTATTCTACCAACCCAGGAGCTAGAATGATTTTGTTGTTGTTGTTTTTTTTAATATGGGAATACATTAAATTGCTGATGGGTGCAAAATGCCTGATATACTTGAACCAAAGAGAAAATGGGGAAGCCTACTGAAATATGAGGCAGAGCAGTGGAGAACAAGTGTTAAACACCCCATGCCCAAGTCCTGCCTGTATTGTCTTGCAGTAGACAGGAAAAATGCTTAGTAAGTGAGACTTACCAGAAGAAATATTTAAAGCAGGCCATATTGTGTGTTATGGATATCAGAAGTTTTTGCTTTTTTCATTAAAAAAAAAAACAAAAAAACAGTGGCTTTTAAAGCAAGTAAAATACAGTAGGTTAAAGGGGATGACTTGTCTGGTTATTTAAATATATGTTTGGTGTACAATGTCTGTACCAAATTGGCTAGCCTCCTTGCGCCTTTGGAATAGATGCTCACCCACATGCAAAAGAAAGTGCCTGGCTGGTGGCCGCTGCTGTAATTCACCCAGGCAGGGGCTAAACTCAAACCTGGGGATGTGCCTGGGTTCCCCAGAAGGACTGAGCTCCTAGAACCCGTGCCAGCTCTCTGCCAGACTGATTGCTCATGTTTAGAGCTACCTTCCAACACCTGAATTCCACAAAGCAATAAAACCTGAGCACTTACAGGTGTCAGGCTTGCTCTGTGATTCCTTGCACTGGATGATTAGTGGCATAGGGACTCGTGGAGCTTCAGCTTTAATTTAAGTAGCCAGCGTGCACTACGGAGATCTATGACAAGGATGTCATAGATGTAACATAGTACAGGGTGTGGGCAATGCTGGTTAACTTGTCCTTGCTATTCTTGGTTCATTCCAGAAAAAAAAAGACAATCTTTTAGGTATGGAAAGGAGCCTGGTTTTTATTTCTTTCACACCACTTGGCGGCATAAAAGTAATTTCAGATTGGTTGCCTCCTCAGATGATGTCTCTTCAAGAACAGGCAAGCAGGCTAGAAAAGTTTGGTGGACTGGAAGGGCTAAAGATCCAGCACAAACTGAATGCCATTCGTGAGAGGAAGCAGCAGATCAAGGATCTATCCCAGAGTAGGAGAGAGAGGCTTCAGACTGCCCTTCTTCTGGCACTTTTCTACCAGAACTTGGAAGAGGTAAGAGGGTAGACTGGGATGGGGGTGGAAGGCAGAGGAGCTGCCTTCATCCTGTGTTGGATGAAGTGCTCGCCCTTGCCAGAGACTCGATGTACTGATAATCTACTCTGGTATGGCAAGTCCTGTTCTGCCACACTCACACAAGGGGGTAAGTGTTCCGATGCCACTGCTGTTACTATACCATCATTGTGGCATTGTGCCCATTACAGCTTCTTTACGCATCAGGAGCTCTGCTAAAATAAAACTAATAAAAGAAAAACTGTCAGCTGCTACCTTAAGTTCCTTTGGTGGAAAAGAAAATATATTTCAAATCAGGGTGAATACAAAGTGGAAAGCATTATGGCAAGGGTGCAAAGCTTTACTAGCGAGTGTTCACTGAAAGACTTCAAAACAGTGCTGTAACTTGGCATAGCTCTTCTGCTACTGTGGACTGGTCTCTGCAGAATATGTTCATCTTTGTCTCCTGTTCTGGCCTTAGTCCTGTAACTGAGTAGCTCTGCTGCTGGCACTACTGTTGGAAAGACATACTAGGTCAGTCTTTCAAAGGGCAGCACAATATGTGTGTGACTGAAAAATGTGCTAGCATCCAGTGTGCTGGCATGAACAGCAACACACACGCCCAGAGGGACGTTTGCAAACACTCTTGCTGGTCAGGTATGCATCACTTCTGCTGTTGCATGCCATGGAACTTCCTCCATAGGTTAAAGAAAAACTGCAGGTGCTTGTCACCTCCCAGCCCATGAAAAAGCCCCATTGTCCTGACACAGTTCAGATTATGACTGTGACCAAAGGCAAATGAATTCCCGTAACACAGCTGCTGCTGACAACATTTTTTTTTTTTTTAAAGAGTAATTGAAGGTATAAATGGCTGCTAAAATTCCATTTACAGCACAATATATTTGGCATTCCCCCCACTCACCCCCAATAAAATAATCAAACACTTAAATACTCTCTTCTTTGTCTATACTAAAGAGCCAGAGCTGCACGCTGTTTGGTTGGTTGGTTTTTTTAATAAACTTTGTCAGGAATTATTTACACAGCCTAATATTAACTCGTCTTATTTGGCTATGCTTTTCCTGTCACATGAACCAGTCCACCAGTAATGGGCAGTCCACCTTATGGACTAGCAGAGCAGAGTGGATGGAGTGGACGGTGCATTGCACAATGCTAACATTTTCAAAAGAGCGATGCACCTCTGATGGAAAGGTCATAGAACTGCCAACATCCTCTGTGGCAGGGAAACCATCAATGCCCTCCTAGAGATACAATCAAGCCATTAGGCAGGAATACTTATGCATTCCCCCGTAACTGTCAAATCAGTGCATGGGGTGGGGTCCCCCTTCTTTCTTGAATCACACACTTATAGCAGAAGATCTGGTCTTGTATTGTAAGGAACATTTTCCTTCTCATCCACTTTCTCTGCATAAATTAGGCCAAGAGTTCCATAGGGAGTTTTTGCTCTCAAACTATCTCCACGTTTACCTCGCCCATCTAAATTCATTGCCTTCTCCTGTAAAATGTGAATGTCACCAGTGAATTAAAAAAAAAACAACAACCTTACAGTAATATCTCTCTCCCTCTTTGTTGGGTAGAATGGAATGTTTAATTTGATTTTAATGATGTTCTGGATGTGTACAAGTTCATATATGAGAATAGTCCCCAAAGGGATGTTAAATTGCAGAGATGAGTTTTGAGTTTAGCTGTGAAATCAATGAGGTCATTGCTTATTCTTACTTATTAGGAGAACAAGTCCCATAGCTCAGGTCCCAGTCCCCTGCAAACTCTCTCTCCTGCAGTCATCTTAAGTCATTTCTATTGATCAAACAGAATTTTTTATGTCAGCAGAAAATAGTGATTGCTGTCATTGTTAAGTCTCCTAGTTACTCTCTAGAAGCAATTACACAGAATGCTACGCACATCAGTACAAAGACAACCCAGTCTGTGATTACTGATGAGAGGATGGAGAGCTCAACATCATATGGTCTGCTTAGAAGGCTAGTTGCTGCAGTTTGTGCCCTTTTCAGGACATAGGACTTTCTGCCCCAAACCCGCAACGACTAACTCAGGAGATCACATGCAGCTCACAAAATAGAACACGCTATCCCACAGTAGAAATAGGGTGCTTTTCTAGTCCCAAAGAAATGAGACAGACTTACAGACTATGTCACAAAGTCCGTACCTCAGTGTTAACATGGAAGGCAAATGAGAAGGTTGCTACTTAGAAATATGTGTATTTGTTTGAGTTATTGTGGAGGAAAGATCATAAATTTGGAAGTTTTGACTTCTAAAGCTGTCTGTGAGTTTTAATACTGACTCTGAAACTTGCTCATCATATTAGAGTCACTTAACTTCCTTTCCCTTTCACCCTCTTTACAAGAGAATAAAAAGCACTTACTACTTTATCTCAGAGGAGTGAGAGATAAAATTAGGATTTATCTCTAAATGTCTAGAACAGGCACATCCCTTTATATGTTTAAATATTTATGTTATTAAAAATCCATGTACTTCACAAAAAGCTTGTGCTCTTGAGGATACAGTAACTGATATTTTGAAAATGTAGGCTTCTAAATTGATAGTGCCCACATTTTTTATGAGTCCCATAGAAATAAGACTAATCCCATGTGCCTACAACTGAGCATAACACTAGTCTCACTGTTTTCTTCAACGAAGTAGAAATGCCTGTCCAGACAACTGTAAGTCTTCCTATAGAAAAAAGATCTTGGGACAACAGATCAGCCTTGCTTCACACCTGAATGTGGACATGGGGCCAGGAGAAGAATCTCACACTCTGTAGAGCCATACTAAGTAAGCCTTAAAATAAACCAAGCCACTAAGACTGCAGATGTGATTTTTTAAAATATCTTTGTTCCGTCTGTCATTAAGCCGTTGCTTATTATTAAAAAGCAGGAAAGAAATCACCCTTTAAGTAGATAGGTACAGGGAATTCATTTGTTTCTCATCCTAACTGTATGGACGAGCCTCTCCCATACAAATGAGAAGTCAGTTAAGTGACGTTAAAGCGTTAATGTGCGGCTGGGTAATGGGAGAAGGCCTTAGCTTATGAGGAGGGTGTCAGAAATGAAAACAGCAGATGACAGTGTGCTGTCCTGGGCAACCTTGACATAAGGCTTCTGTCTGAGTCTCTAACTGTGCTTTGGAGGGGAACAGTTTCTTGAGAGTGTGCTGCTACTGAAAGCTATTTCTGTTATTGTTTATAGAATTTCAGCAGCTGAAACAACACTTCAAATCATTAATTAACTGAGAAAAATCCTCCACTTGTCAAGTCTTGTGTGCATGTAGCACAGTTCCACAAGGACAGCCAAGATGCTTTCAAATTGATAAAGCTGGCTTCAATTTGCTGTTCTTGTGTTGTCAAAACATTAGGTTACTTTAGTGGTCTGAGGACAACCGGATCAGTTACAACGCATGTCAGGTGTTCAGTTCTCAGTGTTTTGATGGATAGAAAATATTTCCTTCAGTGATAAGGACTAAAGTTTAGCAGACTTTAAAGAAAATTATGGAAGCCCCACTATGTTATTGTCCATTTTATTCTGCATACATTTAAATCCCTAAAAAAGAATTTCCTAAGAGAAACACATATTCTTTGCTTTGTTAGTCCTCATGGTTCACCTGCTTGTCTGAATCTGATGTTCCTGACTAGACTATTTTATGAAATGTAAAAGCAAACAGAGTTGTATTTGCTTTCAAATAATCTGACTAGTGCTTGGCCCCATCAGAAAGGCTTTATTTGCTTTGCATTTTCCACTTAGGTCTCACAACATTGCTGAGATCAGGAAAGGATCTCATTTGACTCGATGATCTCAAAGGTCTTTTCTAACCAAAGTGATTCTATGATTGATGTAAAATGATGTTTTATAAGTGAGGCACAGAATTCTTAAGATCTTAACCCAGATCTTACAGGTAGGTCAATGACAGAGATAGGAGATGAAACTCAGAGCCCTAAATCCAAGGCTCAGCTGTCATAATCTCATTTTAAATATGTCTACCATATCAAGGCTGCATATCTGCTGAAGGATTCTCTCTATATAATCTAGAAGACTGCATAATCTGTTTATGGCTTGCAATAAAATTTGGGGTATTCAAGGAATTTTTATTATTCTTGTGGTCAGTTAAAACCTACTTTCATTCCTACCTGCTTGCATTTTCTAGCAAGTAGAATAGTTCAGAAATGGGAGAGCCACCTCTGCTGTCAGCTTCCAGATCAATCTGCCCAGCCCAGGCATAGGCAGTTGCATAGAGCAATGACATGTCTTGGGAGGAGGCCCCAAAACAGCATGTCACGCTAACTCTGATGTCTCACACTGCTGCAGGCAGAAGACTGGATCAGTGAGCGCATGCAGAAGCTAGAGGATCCTTCCATACAAGACCCCAGCAATCTGCAGGACAAAATGAAGCTGCTGCAGAAACATCAGGTCTTTGAGGCAGAGATTCTAGCAAATGAAGAAATCATCACGGCTGTTAATAAGGTAACTCTCTCACTCTCCTAGTGTTTTTACAGACTATTGCTGGTTATCCAAAGGACAGGTAGACGGAATGAAAAGGAAGGGTAGCTTGTTCACCACTTCTATATCAATTATCCTACTTGTGTGACAAGAACCCAATTGCTATGCCATGGAAATGTAATTCTGCTAATTTACAACATAGAGATTTGTTAATTGCTCCATCTAGGGAACTTCCATCTTTCCTTATTGCCTGAACAGGAAGATATCACTGACTTCTTCCTTGCCTGGGGTGATTACTCTTACAAAAGGTAAATAGGACTTCATACCAAATTTGTGAACATTCTTGTTGAAACTGGGTGAATCACATAGCTTAAGGGTACGATCACCTGCAATACCTCTCTTGGTGCTTCCACCCCATGAATGTCATTCTTGGCAGGGAAATATTCAAATTCTAGTGGTCTTGATTCCCTCCAGACACAAAAGCTTTCCAGATGAGCAGTATCATTTGGGCAGTAAGAATTTATATTAGTAATTTATTATGCAGTCCACGTTAAGAAAGTAAGAGTCCTTCTAGAAAGGTCATGTAACATGGCAATGGCAAAATTAATTTATAATTTCTTCTTCTGAATGTGAAGAAAGGAGAAGACCTGGTATCAAAAAGCCACCCGAAATCAGGAGAGATCCGTCGCCGAGTCCGCATGCTTCAGGAGCGTTGGGAGAAGTTGAAGAGAGCTGTTGCTGCTCGTGGAAAGATGCTAGAGGACAGCCGGGACTTTCTGGAACTTCTCCAGAAGGTGGACCAGGTGGAAGCCTGGATCAGGGAGAAGGTAAATGGAGTCTAGTATTTAACCCAAGCAGCACACTAGAGACTTGCTATTCAGCAGAAAACTTCTGATAAATGTGTCATCTTCCAAGTTATTTTCTTAGTGGCTTTTGCCTGGAAGAATCATGACAAGTTCTATAAGCAATATGGAAGGAATGATTCAACAAATTCTAAACATTTTCCAGAGTGTTTCTGTGCCAGAGTCAGTTGGGCAGCATTAGCACATGTTCTCATGTAAAATGTGCACATAAAGAGATTGTGATTGTTGGTAGTCATCTCGTGTGTCTCTATCGAGACAGAAATGAAAACAGACTAGAATGGAAGAGACTTGAAGCATTTGGCAACTGGCACTCACTCTCATTGTGTATGAAATCTGAAAGTTTCTCTTTGTAAGAGTGAAGTCACTTGATCCACTAAGTTTTCATTCAGAGATTGCTTTCATAATCAGTAATAGATTGGAGAGAGAGTTGGGACTAAATCTAGTAATTATCTAAAGATCAGAAGAGACTACCTCAGAAGCTGCAGGTCAGTGATTTACAGACACATCACAGAACTGATTGCATCAGCGTAAGCACTGGGACATGCTGTGTTCTTGCACTCAGCCTGAATGTTTGCTTGTCTGCTGCTTATTTCTCCAGGAAGTCATGATTAATGTAGGTGATGTGGGAAATGACTATGAACACTGCCTGCAGCTCATGAAAAAGCTGAATGAGTTCCGTGGAGCAACATCAGGGGTAAGAGATGTTTTCCATGCACATTCCTTGTGTGGCTGGAAGCAGCAGTTACCTTTTCAGCCCAGCAATATATCCAGGTAGCAAATATGGTTCCAGTCCCCTGAGGGGTAGGAAGCATTACCACTACATAAGCCATTAAAATAGATAGAATTTTCCCTTATTGTGCCTTCTGCTTTGAAGTCTAAACAGACCTGTCAGGCACTCATCACACAACCAAAAATTTTGAATTGCATTACATGACTAGAAAGTTGGCTGTGGCAGCCTGAATTTCACCAAATTTCTGGTTTGGTTCATGCAGCCTGCAACTTACAGTGAGTTCCACCCAAAAGTGGATTTTAAATGGTTGTTTCAGCCACATTTGTTTGAATCTGAAAGTTGATATAGACCTTCCATGAACAAGCCCATAAAAAGTTCTCCATTTCCCTCCTTTATTTCTCCCTTCCCCTCCTCCTGAGGAACAGTCAAGTTTTTCATAATCCTTCACCCAAATGAAGCATGTATATTTGGGGGGCTTTGTTTATACAGCACATGTGGTAGGTCATAAATCATAACGTTAATAATCAGACATTTAGTGAAATAGAGCAGTGGTTTACATTTTGGATAGCAGCCATGTGACAAGACAGCTGCACAGTTCACCTTTCTGTGCTGAGATCTCTGACCCTCTTTTGTGGTGCTGAGTCACACCAGCTGCCTCTCCTGCCCCCAGTGAGGTGTGCTAACCTGGGCACCAAACCTTGGGAATGCTGGGGAACAGGCCCTGCCACAGCAAGGGCCTCCTTGTGATGTACTTCAGCTCCCACTGTGAGAGCTGTAAGGAATTTGCAGCAACCTCTTGTTCTCTCTGTTGTGCAAACTGCTACAGATGTGGACTAACAGGTCTGTGTGTCACACAGGAAAGATTACTGTGCTGATCTGCTAGTCTGGAAGCTGTGAGGAAGGTCTGGAGAGAGGTATATTAGTACTTTGTGAGTTGAGGCTTGCTCTAATGTTTTCTCCTAATATTCTTTATCCATTGTTTGCCTGTTATTTTGTGGCCAATTCCTGTTATGGCAGCTCCCATGATTTATTTCTGTTGCCTAACAGCAGGAGGAAACAATCCTCTTCTATGCAAAGTAACAGTGTAGATATGCCTGACACCTAGGAGAAAACCTTGAGCTCCCCTTTCCAGAGGCTGGCAGAATTTCTTGTGACAGTACATAGTACTGGATGTGGTTAGAGAGACAAAATACTCAAGCTTCAGCACCAGGGAGTTAGTGAAGTGAAGAGACCTTCATCAGACCTTCATCGGCCCTTCAGTCCTCACCAGCTGAACTGTGAGCTAAGGGGTGGAGCAAGGGCTCTACTACAGGTTGTACCAGCCAAAAGGAGGATGCTGAAAGACACAGAAACAGCCCAGCGTCCCAGTCAGCATAAGGTAGACTTTATGTGCCACAGGAAACTCTTGGCCTTAGATACTATCATCTTGTAGCCACTGCTCCTGTACCACTCTGAACGTGACTCCTACAGAAAAAGGCTGGGACAGTGATACCCTCATAGCTGATGTGTAGCTATAGAGTACTTCATAGGGTGATACAGACAGAAGCAGGCTGGTCCTAGCCAGTGTGTGCATCCATCCAGTCTAGGTTTCACCCCTAGACAAACCCGAGACCAGCGTAGGGAGCAATCATCCTGCATTGATGGCTGCCAGATTTTCTACTCATATTCTGTCACATTGTGCTGCTATTACTTCCCAGAGGAGGAGACTGCAGGGCTTCTGAAGAATATCTGGCTGTCTGCTGGCTTCTCTTTTTTACGTTATGGTTGTGTGTAATAGTAAAGTACATATGGAAACATGGATGTTGGCATGGATGTAGCATAAATAAAATACAAATGGAGTCAGTACTTCTATTAACAGTGTGCTGGCATTTTGCAGCTGTGCTTCTACTACACGAGTGATTAATGTCTCCCCACTAAGCTTGTGATTTACTAGTCTTGGAAAAATGAAAATGTTTTTGAATCTTGGAGCAGTGTTCAGTGTTGGCCATCCATCATGCTCCAAAAGAACAATTATTCCACTGTAGTCCAGATTATACGTGCAGTGTGCAAATATTATCATTTCTGTGGTATGTACCTAGGAAGCAAGTTGCCTTGAAGGCTTAGCATACCTTTTAAAATGCAGTGATGTTGCTTTAGAAGAAAACTCAGTGGCATGGGTTGTCTGGGTTTCTCAAGGCTGTATGGATTTTAAGCCTGTTGTCCACAGTACAGAAGGCATATCTGGACAGAAGCCTATCTCAAAAAAAACAGTGAGTAGGCCTAGGTGCCACAAGTCACTACCTGTTTGATAGAGGAACAATCTGCCAAACATCAGTTGTTCCACAGAAGCCACCTATGTAGCCAGTAACTGCATCTATGGTTCTTCAATAAACAAGACCCTGCTGGAATGCCGGGCTTAGAAATGAAGCTCTGAGTGTCCTCGTCTAGGCCTAGATTATTGTTGTACTATTGTCATTAATGTCCTTTCTTGCCTTTATTGTCTTCTCATCAGAGACTGGTAACACGAGCAGCTGTAGTAGACTAAATCCCATGTGTCTGAAATGTTTGGTAGTGAGGTAAAACTCTTGCTTGTTGCTGTTATTGTTGGTTTTCATGTTTCAGTGGAAAACTCAGTCACAAGCATTTCAAACACATACCTTTGTTCCTTTTCTCACTTTACAGGAGATGACAGTGGACGATGCTCACATCAGGGCTATCAATGCCCTGGCCATGAAACTGGAGAGACAGAACAAGGAAGAAACAAAGACAATCTATGAGCGCCGGAAGCAGCTCAATGAGAAGTGAGTATGATTTTAAAGCTTCTGTGTAAGGCAAAAACAAGAAGGGAAGAATAGGTGTCTTGGGCTGGCATAAATGGAGGAATTGCAGCATATATTTTCTTCTTTAACATCATGACTACCAAACATCAGGCACGGGAGTTGCCTTTCAAGACTCTCATAGTAGTTAGCCAGAAGGATTTCTAATCCAGCAGGGCCAAAGTCATGTCTCTTTACACACTAGATCAATGAAGCTAGGACACTTCTACCTGTTCACATAGTTGTCCTGGTGAAGTGCATATTGCTTTTGCTACTTCACAGCCCGCTAGCTAAGAACCAAAATCATGAAGATAGGGATTGTGAGGTTATCAAGACTTTAAGGAAACTGGATTGGTACTTTTTAGCTCTTAAGCCCCATGCCATCCTGAAAACTTGGAAAAAATATAACCAGGTAGTCTTGTCAGGATAATGTTTTATCCCTGTGATGTGTCCCCTGTTGTGGGGAAGTGGGGATCCATACAAAAGGTAGTTCATAAATCCTGTCTTTTTACTTAGACCTGAGCATCATGAAATTCAGTTGTGGAAATCCTCTCCTCTGAAATACACCTCTGAAATATTCTTTTCCATAAAAGGTGGAACAGTTTCCATGGCAACCTGAATGCATACAGGAAGAAGTTAGAGGGAGCCCTAGAGATGCATGCATTAATCAGAGAAATTGATGACATCACAGAGAGAATTACCGAGAAGGTGAGTTCTCAGCTCTTGATTAATTGAAATAGGAAAATGTTCTGTTTTGCTAACAGTGATAAACCCAGGCATGCCAGTTGCTAAGAGAGATTCTGAGTATCCATCAGTGACCTTTGATAGCTGTCTGGATCCAGTTTGCATCTCCATCACACAGTGCTGAGCCACGTTGGTGCTGAATACCAAAAGCCAGTTAGCTGAGCTACCATAGAGCTTCTTCTAAATTATCTACTTAGCTTGAATAACAACTTCTAGTGTTCCAAATTCAAAGTTAGTTCATTCAACACTAGCTTGCATATATCTCCCTTCTGTGCAATGCAGACATATTAAATATGCAACTTTGAAAAGTTGTAGAAAATCTTATTCATTCAGAAAATGGAGGTAAAAATGCCTATCCTGGATTATAATTTTGAGATTACTAGAAGAAAAAGGCTATATAAACCCTAATTATTTCATTCACATAACTACAGATATTAATTTAACTGTAAATCAGTAGGCAGATACACAGTGGTACTACTTAAGGTTACAAGGCTGTTGGTTTGAAATTTTTATAACTTTTATGAATGTATTTCTTCATTGTCTGGGATTCATTTCTGGTAGGGTTCTGAGGGTCAATTTTATTTTCCATATTTTCATAAAACACAGATGAAAATTTCTGTGCCACAGTTTAATGGGAAATATTTAGCTGGTTTGGTATATGGGAAAAAAAGGGAAAAGAAAGATTGAGAAATGCAGGGAAACATTCCTGTCTTTGTTTTATATGTGAATGGCTGAGGCACTTTAAGTAGGATTGCAACTGTTCAAAGAGTTGTGAATTCTTGTTCCATCTCTGTAAGGAGTGCAGAGAAGGTGCCCTAATGATATTTTAAAAGACAATAAGAACATTCAGATGAAATATGAAGAAGGGAAGGAGAAGACTATTTGAAAGTATTAAGATGTGATCCTTATGCTTTTTTTCATCTTCACCATTTGCACATCTTACTGCCCCCTCCAGAGTGTACTGATACAAGCACTGGATTATGGGAAAGATGTGGAAAGTGTTGAAAACCTGATTCGAAGGCATGAAGAGATGGAGAGAGAAATCAGTGTTATTAAGTCCAAAATGGAGGTAAGAAGTGGGGAAGAACAGAGGATGCTGTAAAAAAAAGTTCATTTTTGCTTCTTGGAAACATGTTACAACGATCAGCGTGACTTTTCAGATTTATTAATACGAATTGCACTGTGGTGTAAATGCAGCACAGATTTCTTCTCAGTAAAATACTGTGCTGCTTAATCCTCCTTTATTGTGTCAAATGTTATTCTTCCTGATGCGCCGAATCTAAGGAGATAAGTCCCTTTTTAACATGTTAGTTGATTCTCTGGCCTTCCCCTACAAACCAGATTAGACTGTCCTATACCTTTTGGAAAGTGTGGAATCCAAATTTAAGTTTCTGGTTTTTCCCCAGTTTCTGTACTGACTTGAACCAAATTCACAACCAGTTCTGCTTAGTGCTAAAATGCTAAACCCACAGTGCATGTAGTTGTCTGACTTAGACATCAAAACCAGAAATCTTAGGTTATAATTGGCTGCCTGATCAGCTCTGGCTTTTGTAAAATGGCCACTTTGCATCATTTAGGACTAATTTTGACCATTAAATATGGGTCTGAGCTCCTATATAATTGCATATTTTTAATAAAAAGAAATGTGTTCAGCTGAACCTCAGTAGTAGAAATCCTATGACAACCTCTCACTGTTTTCACTGCTGGCCAGAATATTAAGCCTTTTCATACAGAAAATATTTTTTCAAACTTTTTCTAAACTTTTTCTTCACAATAGTATGCAAATGGTGACAATATGTGTGATAGCTTCACACATTGTGTTGCATATTTTTAATAAAAAGAAATGTGTTCAGCTGAACCTCAGTAGTAGAAATCCTATGACAACCTCTCACTGTTTTCACTGCTGGCCAGAATATTAAGCCTTTTCATACAGAAAATATTTTTTCAAACTTTTTCTAAACTTTTTCTTCACAATAGTATGCAAATGGTGACAATATGTGTGATAGCTTCACACATTGTGACTTTGTTAGCTAATCCTCATTTTTAGCAATAGCAATGCTGTATGGGGGAGTGCTCTATGGAAACAGAAAGATGAGCAAGGTTTGGGTTTTCTGGTTTGGGTTTTTTTTTCTGATGCTGCCACAAATATCATGTACTTTTCTTATGGATTAAAATCGGCCTGGCATATTCTCCTTTCTGCTTAATTAAAATTCTTCATTTTCATCAATCTAATGGAGTTTTACAAGAAAGTTACCAACTCTAAGCCCGGGTTGGTGAGTGCTCATTCCTGTTTATCAGGCTGTGTTAAGGAAAACATCATCAACTAGAATTCTACACTGAAAGCAGTGTTTTGATGCTGCTGTTAGCTGAAATAGCAGAAGCCTCAAAAATAATTCATATCTGAAAGGCAAATCTGGTTGCTGCTGCGTACTTCCAGATTTTCCTAGATTTCATTACCCATCTTAATTAGATTAAGTTAGAGGTTACAGTTAGCACTTCATTTTCCTGTATATTTGTCCCTATTCTACTTTCTTAATTGTAAATTAACGTTTGTGCATGTGAAGTAACCCACACATCTCTTTCTTCACATGGATGATTGCTCGCAAATGTGCATGTATTTTTTGTGCATATAACAAGTCCCTTTGTATATTTTGTTATTGTAATATAAGTACCTGCTTTTGAAAACTAGGATCTTAAAATGAGCTACTTTTCCTGAAAGGCAAACTCAGGAACAAATATAAGCATTTGGCATAAATTCACCCCACTATAAATCTCTTCCCAGCCATTGCAATTGGAATCTTTCCGCCTTTCCACAAGGAATCCATCCATAAATGACAAACTGACTATGAAGCAACAGGAGATGAAAAACAACTGGCTACGACTCCAGGGACAGGCCAAACAAAGGTAAAGACTTCTAGTGGACTGAATATCTCTCAGCAGGAGCAAAGCTTCTCCCCGGGGTCTCAGATCTACTTGCCAGGGACCTTTGAAAAGTTTTTGAGGATCCTTTATAAAGTTTATACAGGCAGCTAAGACACTTGCATTGGAACAAGTGTGATTTGGTACAAGAAAAGTTCCACTGATGTGACTTTGGGAAAACTAATACATTGAGTCTGTGGCTTATCCCAGTAAAGAACGTTACTAAAATGCCTCTAGACTATCAGATGAAATCTATCGTGAAGCCTTTGTGAAAGACTTATTTTTGGATGGTTCTAGCAGATTATTTTTTTCTTAACTCTTACCAAAACAAGAATGGCTTAGGCCTGAGCTGTAATCATTGCTGGAAGCAACAGCTATGAAGACCTTTTCACCTTTCTTGTCCTAATGAACTGATGTAGAAAATAAGGTAAGCATGTTGTTTCCAAGGCAGTGTGCATCTGTGATTTTGGTTTAACATGAGGACTGTTAGGAGCTGTAAGAGAAAGCTAGGAGACTTGAATTCACTTCATATGGCTTCTCCTAGGATACCCTCTCTGCAAATGGGGAGGGAGAAAGTAACTAGATAATTCTGTGTTGGATAATGCTGAACTGCACTTTTTGTGGCAGGAAGGAGAAGCTGGCAGCCTCGTATCAGTTGCAGAAGTTTAACTTGGAGATGAAGGAGATGCTAGATTGGACCCAAAACATCAGAGGCTTAATGGAAGCAGGGGGACTTCCTAAAAGTGCAAATGAAGTGGAAAGCATGATTGAGGACCATCAGGAGAGAAAGGCAAGTATCATCATCACTTCCAATTGAACATACTTGGAATCTTTCCCATGGGAATTAATTGCTGCAGACACAGCAGGATTTTGCTGCATGCATCTGTCAATAACATGGTGAAAAGAGTGTTTTCAATAACAGGCTAGGGACAGAAGTCACCTACATACTGACAGAACTCTATCCCATGGGCTGTTTGGCAGCTTGCATCTCTGCAAAAAGTCTCAGAAAGCCCCATTATCTCTCACCCGTACTGCTGTCCAACCCTAAAAAAAAGCTATAAAAAGCTGTAAAAAGCTATAAGCGATAAAAAGTTTGATACTGGTTCAGTATCAAAACATGCTCACTGGTGATCTCTTTATTCGGATTGCCAGAAAGTTAATGCCAGTTAATGCCATTCCAGTTTTGAGTTAGATTTTTGTCACGCAAACTCCATTTGCCTGAGAGGAAAATAAAACCAGCAGTTTGTCTCACACAAGGCAGTAAATTACTATTGGATGGTACTACACATTCAGTTCTGAAGCACTTCATATCCCAGTACTAATTATCACACAATCTTTTGGCAGGTCATTTGGCTAATATTTTTTGTCAAGGTTCTAAAAGGAGAGATGTTGTTAATTAACCTTAGAAAAAAGTTAATATTTTACTTTTTCCCAAGTGTTATAGCTATCTTTCAGCTGTTGTGTTACCTTGTCTTTGCAGTTTTGTTACTTTTTCTAAAAATCATTTTCCCAGAATCATGACTAATAGCCAGTGCTTTGTGGGTCCCATTATTTGCACAAATAGTTTGTAGATCCTGATTCATTTTTTGGAATTGAATTTAGTATGAAGTGCCTGAAGTCCTTTCCTTCTTCAGAGTCTTCCATTTTAACAATGCTCTCTCATGTCACAGACTTAACAATGTTTTTGCTGATAATTCTTTGTCACAATAGAAATACCCCAAACCAGTGAGGTACTGTACTCCAAATTTAGATGGCAGCAAGGTCTCAGTCTTTAATATCTGTTAGCAAAGGAACCCAAATGGCTCTAAGGAGAGAGTCACACAGAAAAGGAGGAATCCAGGCAGGATGTTCTTTTGTGTTGAGTTGACTAAACTAAAATTATAGGCAAGACAAGAAAAAAGGAGGGCTTTTTTTTTTTCATTCAGGTTAGCGGCTCAAACCAAAGTCCTCAGGAGAGACTAGAGTTGAACACTAGGTGCTAATCTGAATTAAAAAAAATAGAGTGGCTATCTTACAGCTGTGTTATCTATGACTGGGCAACACCACCCCCCAAAAAGACCCCAAAACCAGCAGTTCTCATTTCAGACATTTAATAGTACATGCCATAGTTTTTAAGGTGGTTTATGAGTTAATACGTGGTATTATTTCAGCCTATGGTTATTTTTGTTTTCAAATTGTTTACATTAGGAATTCCAGATTCAGTTTGCAGGGGTCCTAGTTGCTTGTAATTCTTTCATCTTCAGGATTCAGTATACAGGCATAGTTCATTCCTCAGACCAGGTGAAAAAGTTAAATGTATTTCATTTTAACACCACAAAATAAAGTAAAATCGTGTCTTTAATGTAATAAGCTGACGCTGACTTATTTGGCAGAAGAGGAAAAATTCTAGGCACTGTTTCTCATAAGAATCACCTTTATGTAGGAAGACTGGGCGGAGTATTATGGGTATTCAGAACTGTATTCCTTTATACCTAGGCATTTTCTAACCTGTTTCTAATTTAATCCCAATTTTGATTTGTTGGAGACCAGTTGTTCCTAGAGTAATAAAGTCATTTATTGTCCACATTTATTTTCTCTTAGGCAATTCTATGCTCTTTCAGTAACATAGCTCAAAGATGAATGATTTTCCATACAAATATTAGTGTTGGAAAGTTACAGCCCATATTCTTCCCCTTAAGGCTTGTAGTCTGAATAGCTGGCGTTCTGTAAACCCTTGACATCAACCTTAGTAATATATTTTAGGAGGAGATTGAAGCACGAATGGAAAGATTCAACTCTCTCAGTAACTATGGTCAAGAACTTGCCAGTTCTGGTCACTACGCAACCCCTGAGATTCATCAGTCCCTCTCCAGACTACAGCAAGCCTGGTCTGAATTGATCCAAGCATGGCAGGAGCAATACATAAAATTGTTTCAGGCAAAAGATTTACAGGTGAGTAAAAAGATGTTCAATACAGAATGTGCATGCCACTGGCAACTTCCCTTGGTATAAACAGCAAATTTATAAGATGGTATAATGAAAGATATGCTAACAGTACCCAGCATTTAATGTATATTTCACCAGTTTCTGGAAGGCATGTTGAGGGCCAAGCACATTCAGTGGTGGCATAACTTTTAGAAATTGTACCTTTACAAATCAAAGACATTTCTGTGGAATACTTGCTCATATGTTTTTCAAACTCTCATGCAGCTGGCAAAAGACACATACTTAAAATGGAACATCACTACCAAATTCTATAACCTCCAGAATAAAACATGGAGGCAGGAAAGTATTTAAAAAAAAAAAAAAATCTGAAGAAAAATTTAACGTGGACAAAATACTGTATTTTTCCCTGCTTTTTTTTTTTTTTTCTAAGAAAATAACTGTTTGGGCTTCAGTTTTCCAGAAATATTTCCCTGTAACAGTCATCTCACAAAATTTCTGCCTAAATGCCTTGTTGGCAAAAGTTAGAAATAACTGAAATGGAGATTTTACAATGGGGAATGTCAAGTACCTTAAATAACAGTTGGTGCTACTAGCCCCATCTAAAAAGCTTCATATATATGAGAACTTAAACCATATAGTAAGGGCTGCTTTCATGTTTCTTTATGTATTGCATTCTACTTATTTCAGGCCATGTTACCATCCTTTTTATTGGCCAGTTACCTTACACAGCACTCTGCGCTACAAGTACTTGTATCCTACGTCTTAGACAAAAAAAAATAATCATATCATAAAGGAGAAAGTTACAACAATAATTGTTATGCATGTGATTTTTGTAGCATCTAATGCTTATTGCTATCCAGTGCTATGCAGTTAATTTTTGGAATAGCCCTGGAAGTTTGGGTTTTTTCAGCGTACTCTGCCAAAGTCAGGTTTGCCTCCATTTTACATCATGTTTATGACTGCTTTTTTTCCCTATACAGAAATTCTATGGTTATGTGGAACAGACTGAGAGCTGGCTCAGCAGCAAAGAGGCTTTCCTAGCCAATGAGGACTTAGGGGTAGGTTCTCTGAGAAATTACAATTTTCTCTGCAATCAGTCTGGAGGAAAGGGAGCTGTGAAGTTTGATGATGTGCTTTGAACCTTCCTGTGATCTTTCTCCTTCTGAAGTTACTGCTCCATCTTGTTGACGGTTTAGGATCAGATTTCTTTCCTTGATACTTTACACAGGATAGGATTCTCAGCCCCAAGTGTAATGAAACAGTCCAACTACTCTGATTATAGCAGGAAAATGAGACTGCATCTTTCTAACTGGTCATATCTGACCCAAATACATTTACCAGCCATGTGCTGTCACTGCTCACATACCCGGTGTAGCTTTAAATTACCTACCTCAGGTACCCATAACACTGCAATAACTGAAACCTCAGACTGATGCATGGGTTGCAAAAGCTATGCAGGGTGCTGGATATACATTCTGATGCTTAGTTTACCCTGCACCTTGTATAGGTAGTGCTACCAAATTAGTTGTCTCTGCAGGAACTACAATTGCATCTCAAGAGTTCAGTGTAGACATAATTGGTACAAATGGCATGAAAAATATACAATGCTAGTGGCTGGTGTCTGTCTGTACCTTCCAGCCTGGAGGTATATATTTACACTCCGTCCATTGAAGTATATGAGACTTAGAAGGAGACACCTATTTTCCAGTCATGTTTACTCAGCAAGGCACGGAAAATGCTCTGTGAGTACTTTCCCTTCCAATGACTCATGTAAGCACCCAAAAGTTTAGTTTGGTTTTTTTTTTCTGACCTGTTTGGTGTCAGCTTTATCACTTCCTTTAGAATAGTGGGAAAGCAGAGTTTACTGCGATAACAACATTTTGATACCACTGATTCTAAAATTAAATGTGCAGAGAGGTACTGAAAAGAGAACTCTGAGTCATTAAGCTTGGGATTCACAAATGTTAAAAGAAGTCAAATTCTGTGTTTCTCTCATTAACTGTAATGTCAGACTCCAGTCCTCAAATTAAAATCTGGATCTGAGCTCTTCCAAATTCCATGGATTGAAACCAAGGCTCTAATTTTAATCTCTTTCTGTGACATATTTGTTCACTTAACTCTGATTTCAGTTCGGCATCCCACATTTGCTTCCCAAATAGCATCTGTCTTAAGATTGATTTATGATTAGGAGCTGTTGCTTTATCTCTTGAGAAGTGATATCTTCTATGCAGCACAATATGCAGGAGAAGCTAAGCATCCAGCAGTTAGTTCAGTTTTGACCTTGAAATAATGGCCTTAGACCATGCGTAGCATATTATTTGGGACCTGAGTCTCAGATTCAGTGCCAATAAATTTCAAAGACCAATAAATTTTCTTGACAGTTTGCAGATGTGGGGTAAATGCCATTTAGGTTCTGGATTATCAGTGTAGTAGATGGAAAAACTCTGTCTGAAAGCAGCTTCCCTTTGTTGAATTCTATCCAGGACTCAGTGTCTAGTGTGGAGAGCCTACAGCGGAAACACACGCAGTTTGAAAAAGCCCTGGAAGCTCAGATGGAGAAAATCGATGAGATGGCTTCATTTGCTCAGCAGCTAATGCAGGACAAGCATTATGACTCGGACAACATCACCAACAGATGCCAGGCTGTTCTGAGGAGGTGAAGTCAAACCTTTCCCATGTCAGCCACCCAGCTCTTTTGCAATGAGACTCTCCCCCCATGTGACTAATATCTTTAAATGTTTTTAAGAGAACCATAAACTGGTTTGCATTTACTCAACTTTGCGCATTGCTCTGTGGTCCTGCCAAATTGGCCTTAGTCTAGTCAATATTTCATCAGGAGGTTTCCAAAATACAGTTAAGTGGAGGGGGAGAGGGATTCAGAAGAAGGCAGTTTTCTTGTAATTCTGTATCCTGGCCTGGCCTTAGGGACAGTGCTGCAAACAAAAGACAGAGGTCTGCTGTGCCATTAAATGCTTCGTTATCATTAAATACCATCAAGAAAGGTCATTTGCTACACAACTGCTTTTTCACTGCTCTAATGGGGTTGATCTTAAAGCCCTGCTCAGATTATCTATTAGGCCATTTGCAACTTTTCTGATCAGATCTTGCCCTTTCATGTGAATTACTTTATTTCTCCTAGCATGTTGCATATTGTTCATCTTAAATGCTGACAGTAGAAACAGTGGTATTCAGTGCTATGGTAGATGAAAAGATATACATAAAATTTATGAAGAGAGATTGGAGATCCCTTAAGATTAAAGTGAACACATGAGTTTATTAATATGATCAAACTATCTCATGCCTGCATTAACATGAATAAAATGCTGCAGGTCCACATTTGGGAAAAAGATTAAAGGATGGTGTAGCTTTGGTTTATTAGTGACAAATACCATGATACTCACAGGCTTTCCATATAACAAACATGCTGGTTTTTTGTTCTCTTGTACCCTGAAAGGCAATAATTGTGATTCCTAGAGGCAGCTACCGTATATACAGAATTTGTGTGTACTTTAAACATGTGCTATCTGCTATTAATCATTCCTATAGTGTCTTGAGCATCTTCTCTGACAGTTCAAATCATGGGAAGCTGCATATTATGGACAGTTCTCTCCTAGAGAATGGAGGGTTAGATCATGTGTGTTTTAGACATGAAAACTGACAACGCTTATCCTATCTAGTTCACTCTGTGGCTTTTACCTCACACATCTGTCTTCATCACAGAAAAGAGAAACTACTGGAGAATGCTGCTGCTCGCAGACATCTGCTAGAGGAATCAAGGCTTCTGCAGAAGTTGCTGAGGAATTCCTTTGAGGTACAAGTACACAGGATTCATGGTATTCTGGTTTCTTAAAGCATACTGCGTTGCATCGATCTGAATCCCTGGAGGGATTTACTGTGAGAAAAATCAAGGAACTGAGTGTGGAACGAGATGATATTGGGAAAGATGAGGGTAAGAGTGAAGGGATATTTTTCAGCTTTCAAGTCACAGCTTCCCTCCAGTCATCAGATGAAAGATTTACTGTGCATTGGATGCCAGCAAGATGCAGAAGAAACAAATGCATTAGAAGGGAATGTGCCACCATTTTAAAATTCATGGGAAGAGACAAGCTAGTTCTTTTCTTGTGAGATACTGACAGTGGTTTAGAAATAAGGAGATAATTGCCCTTTCTACCCCATGCACACATGTGCCCATGCACTTTCTCAGTGCATGGGGACTATCTCATGGAGACATCCCCCTTTCCAGCTAATGATGCTGGTGAACAGACGTATAGGGTTGACTTCATTATGAAAGACAGGAGGAGCTTAGGGAAGCGGAACCTCAGGACAACTCATTTGCATCCCCTCTCACCAGTCCATGTTTTATACGTAGTAGAGGAGAGCCTGGCAGGTTGGAGCTGAAGAAACACTGAAGGTTTTGTCTACTTCTGTTCTTTCCTCCCCAAAGGTGGCTACCTGGATCAATGAGAAGAATAGCATTGCTCAGGATGATAGCTGGAAGGATCCAAGCAATCTACAGACCAAACTGCAGAAGCACCAGACTTTCCAAGCAGAGATCATGGCCAATAGAAATCGCCTGGACTCCATCAAATCTGTGAGAGAACTGGTGTTAATGGCAAGGGTGGGCAACTGGCATGAAAGACCCTGCAGACAGTCTGAGTTACATGGATCTCAAACAAGCAAGGGGGAATCACTGTTCCTTTGCTGACATTGTCCACACTGTCTCTGAGGGGACTGGGAAGCTTATTGTTTTAGTCCATCAAGAACTTTTGTGTCCATCGGCTTCTTTCAACTTCTCTCTTATTATCTAATGTGAGCTTGCTATCTATAGCCACTGTGCATGCAATGGAAACAGATGGGTGCTTTCAATGAAAGATTCAGTCCACCAACTCTAGGGACTTCTCTCTGGGGTGAATGCCACTTTAGAGGTACACCTGTTTCTTTCCAGCAGGAAACCTAGCTGATTGGATGCACAACTTCAACAAGCCAGATAAGTTGTATCCAACAAAAAGGATCAAGAAGAGTTTTCAAGTGTTGCCTTTGCAAAGACATGCCAGTAGGAGAGAGATGAGGGAAGTCTGACAAGCTTTGTCAGATACTTGGCAGAAGCTGTGATCAGATGATGAGTTTGGAAGGACAGACTGTTACATGTTTATTAACCTTATTTTCAGCACAGTGCTTACTAGATGTATTTTGCAGCAGATAACTAAGCATTAAGGTTAGATTCCCTCCTCAGACTCGCCTGCATCCAGGATTGTAGAACCACCCCCCCGCCTTTTAAAAAAAAAATAAACCAAAAACTTTTTAACCCCCCTATATGCAGACACAACAGGGGGATTAAAGGGTGGAGTTGCAGTTCTGTCTAAACTAATCAACTAATCTGTTTTTAAACAGTTGTTTGCACAATCTCTTTCTCATTATTTCTTGATGCCCTGTCTTTTTTGGGGGGAATAGCCTTAGTAGTTGTTCTTTAGGAGAAAATCCCCTGCTGTCCTGGTATAGCATCTTTCTCTTGCTGTGCCTCCTCTTCCCCACCACAAAATGTAGAAATAGTTCAGTTTAGCTTTCTAAAGCAAACTTGGTCCAAGCTTAAGGATACACCTACAGACTCTTCTACCTGATGAAGGTCTTGCTGTGCATCCTCTGAGTCTTCTTTTACCAACCTGTTAAGCATCTGCAGCTCAGGAATTAGAAATGGGGATAGACTTTTATTACATAATACAGCAGTACAACAGTGCATGGTTAAAAGAACTTTTAGTATCTCATACAGTGGTTCACTTGTATGAGATAGTCCTCTCTTAACATGCAAGGAAGGGAATAGAAAAGCACAGGTAGCTGGGAAATCTCAAACAGTGATCATAGAATGTGGGACATCAGAGAAAAAAAATGAGTGCTTGCGAACTAGGCTCCCTGCCAGCTTTTAGGCAATGTAGCTGTTGTGTAATGCAGATTCTCTCTACCCTTTGTCTTCTAATATTGCCTTCTAGCATTTAAAATAATTTTAGAGGCCAGAAAAACAGGAAAATCATTCTCTGGCCTAGTTTCAATAAGCATTTTATCTTTATCTGTTTTTAATTTTTCTCTTCAGCCTCTATCTGTTATGTCAAGAAGCTATGGCTGCAGCTGGCCCTGTACATAGTAGTGCCAGTAAACTTTGTTTATGGAAGCAACAGTGATAATACTCTGGTGCATTCAGCAAAGGAAGAAAACTTTGACTGTTCTCTCTGCTATAGGAAGGGGAGAAGATGCTCCGTGAGAGGCACTACGCCCCTGAAGCCATTCAGTCCAGACTACAAGAAATGGAAGAGCTATGGGAGGAACTGCTAGCAAGTTGCCAGGATAAACAGGCCAAGCTGCAGGATGCTTGCAAGGTAATACAAGGATGCCAATGGTTGGGTCTTGGTGTCATTTCCAGACATAGCACGGCTGCCTTGCTTCACATCTCATCTACGAGTCTGTCGTCTGATACAATCAGACCTGATTCCTCAAGACCATTAGAGCAAAGAAACTACTAAGTGTGGACTAACTGAATAGAATCAGCAGGAGAACTGGAGAAGCCTATGGAGGGAAAAGGATTTCTTAGGCTATATTCCCTTCTGCTTCCTACTGCTGGTTTAGATCAGGATTCCAGAGAGGGATATTGAGGGGAAAATGTGTTCACTCATGTACGTCAACTCTCTCCATCTGTCCCAATGGCATCTTTTCTCCAACACATTGAGAAAGAAACCCACAGCTGCTTTTCATTCTTCTAGCTCCAGGCACATGACTTCTCATAACTGCAAGTTTTGCATGGGCTATCAGACACTCTGTGGGTATGAAATAGAGCTCTCCCTTTAAATGGCTCCCTTTTAAGGTATTGTGTCCATCATTGTATTTGTGCAACACAAGTAGGATTAGCTCTTGCTGTTCTGTGTATCTGTTCTTGCGTTCACTCTGACTGAATTCTCTTCTTCATTTGGACCACCATCATATCTGTGAAAGGGTTCACTGAGCACTGGGAAGCTTCTTTGTGTTTGTGTGTAATTCTTACTGAAAGTGGCCAAGATTTTTATATCATATTGCCTGTCCTAAAGGTTTAAATGACCTTTTCTTCCTGCTTGTCCTCAGGGCCTTCATTTTCAGCGAAGTGTAGAGGACATGGAGAAATGGTTGGAAGATGTGGAAAATGAGTTGAAAGCACCATATAGTAACAATGATCTGGTGGTTTTGAACAGTCATCTGAAGAAACAAGACGAACTGGAGGGAGATATTGCTGGCCATAGGGATCGGCTGCAAGAGCTTGTGGTCACAGCTCAGCAGTTCCAGAAGGAGAAGCATTTCCTTGCTGATGAACTAGAAGAGAGAGTGGATCAACTGGTGCAGAGGTGTGTGAGTGCCTGGCCTGCCTCCTGCCATCTTTTTCCTATTTTTATCAGCCTTTCTCTTCTCTGCATATTTTTTTTTCTTTCCTTCTCTACATCATTCTGAAAAGAATATTTTGCATTCGTTCCTTATTAATCTACAGTCCTCATTGGGTTCACTTTAAAACCTGCAGATACAAAAGCCTACGTGATCCTCTGCAGGAGAGACGTGGGAGTCTGGAAGCAAGCAGACTTCAGTACCAGTTCTTCAGAGATGTTGATGAGGAGTTGGCCTGGGTTCATGAGAAACTCACCATGGCTTCCTCCAGGGATTATGGCCAATCCCTGGCAACTGTTCAGAGTCTACAAGAAAAGCACCAGGTAATGTCATGTAAGAACCATTCTCAGTCTTTTGAATCAAAGAGAGAACATGGAATCCAATTTGCCTCTGACAAATTTCATCTGTTATGCCTTGGCTAACAGGATTTATGATACCAGGGATTAATCTTATCCTTGTCTGATGATAATGACATTTTTTGAAGGGTATGTCCATGACGTGGCAACATGTGGGATTCCATGCTGCTTATCATTGCAGTGGTCTAGGTACCACACCATATGCTCTTCTGTGGACACATAGGCTGTGAACTGAGTTCAAAACCTGGCTTTTGCAATACAAAATAGATTTTACAAACTGTTGTGCACGTTGTCATAGCTTCTTTGGGCAACAGATGTCCTAACAAATATGCTTTGAAACTCAGTAAGTAAATCCAAGAATGCTCATTGCTCAGATGTCTCAGGATGAGCTCCCAGGAAAACATCTTTCCCCAAAACTCTTTCTACTCTGGAGGGAGGGAGTTAACAGGATATTATGATGATCCTTAGCTGACCTTCATTCCAGTGGTAGCTTTCAATATAGCTGCTGAATTATTTCACAAGGTTCAGATGTGCCATCAGAGAAAGCAGTGCCTGGAACACTGTCATCTCAAATACTAATAAAACAGCAGCTGCCTTCCTAATCGTTTTTTAATAAGGAGCACTGTCTCTTTGCAAACACGAGGTTCCTGCTAAAAGTTTCCAGCAGCTATTGGTATTTAATGTTAGTAAATGACAGCCCATTTAAATGCCAGATCAAGTGCCTTTGGGGAAAATCCGTGCAATCTGCCATAGGGCTGGGAAGACAGAATATCTTATGAAGTAGGAGTGTGTGTGATATATATACAGAGAGAGAGAGTAAGCCCAAGCATTTGGTGCAATCTGCATGTCTACAAATAGAAATCTGAACTTAGAAAAAATTTGAAATGTTCCCAGGGTAAAAATTCAAGACTGCTGCAGGTGACATGCTAGGACAGGGATGAAGTCTCTTAAAAAGTTGACTTATCCTAGGTGTACTCAAAATTTAATGAAGAATTGTAAAATGTTTTTAAATGCATCTTGCAGAATATTCCTGAGTAAGACCCGTGGGTATATTCTGAATAGTTTGTACCTTCTTAGTATTCAGTGTAATTCTCATATTTGTAATTTGTATTTAAGCAAGATGTAGTTGGTGACTTTGAGATTAGACAGTAAGAACAAAAAGCTTGTTTCATCATGATTAAAAGTATAAATGTTGTTACGTATTTGATTACTCCTAAAAATTATGAGCCCATTGACATGGTAGGGAAGTAATTACGTTCATGGAAGAAAGGAATGTTTAAGCTGAATTAATCTGAGAAGATATGTGGGATAACTGAAGGAACAGTGGAGATACTGCTTTAGGCTGCAATTATATTTGTGTTAATTGGCCAGGTCTCAAAATAGTTCAGTGATTGTAAGAATGTGAAATATAGACCATAATACCAAAGCATAATAAAATGCCATTCCTTCCTGCCATTTTGCTTCTTATTCTCCTTGAAGCAGGATTAAAATATAAACTTTGAATTTTCAATCTTTTAGTAGCTAGGGTCTCTACACCTTTTTTTTTTAATGTTGGCTTACAGGCAAACAAATGTCAGAGGTAAAGTAAGAGTCAAGAATTGAATATATTATTAGTTCTACCCTCTATTGTTTGTCTTAACGAGCCAGATTTGCAAAATTCAGTCCTTGGTTTATTACCACAAAAGAGATTGTGTATGGAATGTATAAACTCAAAAGAAAAAGAACCCACTGTCTTGCAAAACTGCATTTACACACAAATGTGATATGCATACACACAGCTGCTTCACTTGGAACACTCACTGCCCCCCCCCCCCCCTTTTTTTTTTAATTCCTGTTGTTATAAATGAAGTACTGTGAATACACGTTCCTAAATGTTCAACTGCAAAGTTGTTCTTCAGGCTGCTAGCTTATTATTAATACACAGTACAAGATGTTTTATAATCTTTGCCACTGGATTCCATTCTGCTGGGGTCAGATATGGTGTCACTTTTCAACAACATAGTGGCTGTCTTGAAATTAATAGGGGGAAGTTAAAGGCAAGATTAGAATCAGAGCTCTTTTCCAGCCAAGTCTGATACTTAAGTTGAAAAAGCAGCTCCTTTCTGCAGAGAGGGCGTCTGTTCTACATTAACACAATACTGCAGTCTAACTCTGAAACTGCCTGTTTCATAGCCATGAAAATAAACAGAACAATTGTAAAATGGTAGGGTTTGTTTGTGCTCAAGGTGCTCAGGCATAGTTAGCCGTGGAATGCACATCTGCCTACAGACAAATTGATGTCATGATCCTTGCCCACCCAGGCAAATATCTGTATGAGGTGTTATATGGAGGAATGCATATGGTTTTAAAATCTACCAGTCTTCAAAAATTAATTTCAAGTAAAGCCTCTGAGAACTGGTTCAGGTAGTTTTCTTCTCTCCTTTTCCACTTGGCTGCCTGGTAGTATGTGTACTCACAGTGTTTGCAATGGCTGTTAGGCAAAGCTCCATCTTCTACAAAGGCATTGGCAAATGATAAATACTGATGAGTAGCTGAATTGATTGTTCTTCCCTAGACACATTTTAATTCAAGAAATACTGTGTATTGGGGTGGAAGCAGGTATGTTTCAGTGGAACCTTACAGGTAAGAGGTTTGTGGTTAGAACCTTTTCCCTCCACACTCTGAAGTGGATACACACTAAGGTCCAAACTTCATGGCTATATTTGATTTCTATAATCACTCCTTCACCACAAAAAACTCCTTCACTCCACTTCAAGCATTCACTCAGACTTTGCACCTCTGACCCATCTTCATGTATAAAAAACAGATTTACAATGGAATTACATGACTATGTTATCTGGTATAAAAATCTCAATAGCTTTTATTTTTGGTCTCTCATTTTATTCTTTCCAGAATTTGGAGAATGAGATAAGCAGTCGGGATGCTTTGACCAAAGCAGTGCTCAGTACAGGGCAGAAACTGGTAAAGGGAGGCCACTCAGCCTCTCGCAAGATTATGGAGCATCTGAAGGAGCTTGAGACTTCTGTAGAAACCTTGAAGGCAGAGGCTCAACAGAGGAGAAAGCGGCTCATGCAGTCATATGAGGCCCATCTCTTCCTGAATGAGGTAAAGATTGTTCATGAGAGACTTTTTGGTCTTTCTTTGCTTAAAAGAAATTATACCTGTATTGTTGAATGGATGCAAGTGCTGAGATAGGAGCAGAATTCATACTGTCCTGATTTTTCATATCTGGTAAATATGGATACAGTGGAGAATTAACAGTTACTTTTCCAAGTAACTGCAGTGAGGGATAAACATGTAACCTTAATTACTGGGTTCTGGGTACACACTTTTTTGAATTGTCTGCTAGATTGCATTACAGAAAGGCACCTAAGCTGCTCTCTGTTTTCACTGATGTGTCTCTTTGGGCATCACTGCTTTCCAGTTTTCTTTGTCTTGACCTAAATCACAGCTGTGTTCAGGCTTATCCCTGTATTTTATGCAGCTGCTGGAGGTGGAGGCATGGCTGGCAGAGAGGAGCTTCATTCTGGAGACCTCTGATTGTGGGAAGAATGAAGAATCCACACAAGCTTTACTTCGTAAACTTGAAGCTACTAAGCTGGACTTGGATGGTTTCAGGCCCCGGATCGAGAAAGTGCAGGAGACAGGTGCCAGCTTAATAAACAAAGACAGCCCAGAGAGGTAGGAAAGTGAAAACGGGCCTCTGCTCTAGGTCTAACAGAAATGCTCAGAGAAGACAACTACGGAAAAGTTCAACCTTCAGTAGCTGTTTGATGGCACGTTCAGAAATAAGAGTTCAGGGGACATCAGTCCTTCCTTTACCACCATCACGCACCCTCAGCCTCCCAAAAGATGGATGATTGTGTTAACGTTTTCATGACTGTTATTTTTTAACAACAGGCCAATTAGTGTAGATCAGCTTCTTTGTCCACTGTCTATTCCCAGGAACTGTCATCTAGTCCTCATTTACCATAAAGGTTCAAAGAACACTGTGCTTGGGAAAGGAAATGGACATTCTTGACAGTTCACTGTTTTTCATTGCCAGTTTGCTTTTATACCTGGGAAGGAGGAATTAAAAAGAGCAGCCATCTGTATGAGATACTTTAATTTCCTGAACTAGCTAGTTTTAAAGGCTTGGCATAACTCACTCCATGACATCATCTGGTTTCCTCTGTATTTTGAAGGTCTTGCAAATTCAACCTGTCAGAAAAAAGCAATGTTCAAAAAGAACAGTAAAAAAAAGACCTATCTTCTTATTCTTGTTCTTTGCAGTCCAGCCATACTTTCAAAGCTCCAGAAGATCCTAGCAGACTATCAGTCTCTCCTGAAGAAGACTGAAACCCAGAGAAAACGCCTGCAAGAACAATTCCAGCTCTATCAGTTTGAAAGAGAATTCCAGCTGGTGGATGCATGGCTTTCCAGTAAACAGTCTGTAGCAGAGTCTGATGACTATGGGCAGGACTTAGATGATGTTGAGGTAAAAGAAAATAAAAGGTATTGTATGTGTTGTGTGGCAAAGCAGGAATATATTTGCTGCAATTTTTGCATAGCTGCTGACATTGAAGGAAGTTACAGTGACAAAAACTAAGCAAACCAGAAGTCTCTCTACAGCAAGAACTCAGACTGGTTTCGGTCTGCTTATACAGGTCTCTCTGAGGTAGCATCTCCCAACAGAAAAAGTAGGTGCACCAGAAAGTTAGCTTTTTCTTGGGATAAGGTGAGGTCAGCACACCACACCGCTGACCCTGATTATAAATTTGACAGGGCCTAAAAAATTTGACATGACCAGGGCCATGGTCTTGTAACAATTTCAGTGGAGAACACTGGGATGCAGCATTCACCCCTCTAGATGTTGATTTCAAGGATAATTTTCTCCTCAGTGCGCACAGGGCAGAGAGGTGTAGTTCATAGTGTCCACTCCTCAACAACTGTTGCATATGTGCACAGCATAACAGGTTATGTTTCTTTTGATCTGGGCAGCATCTGTTTGTCAGGATGTGGGTGATTTTTCTCTGTGACGTAAGATGTTAAATGATCAAGACAATAGATGCCGCCTTCTGATTCCAGATCATCTGGGTTTATCAAATGATTTGCACTTGTAGACTGCAATACATAGCTTTTGTGCTATACAGTTCAGAGAAAGTGAATCCTTCTGCCTCTCTCATAGAAGTAGGCAGAAATTCTTATATCTAAGTCTATGTCCCCATTTATCCTGCAGGTGCTGGACAAAAAGTTTAAAGATTTTGTAAATGAGGTGAAACCTCTGGCACATTCCAAAGTTGTCTCCTTAAACGAGTTAGCATCTAAACTAGAGAAGGAGGGTCACAGCAAGATGGACATTATCCAGAAGAGAACAAAGCAAATCAATGAGATGTGGGAGGAACTATGCCATGCCATCCAGGCAAGGACAGAGGTAGGAAATACATGAAAAACTGGGGCATTGAATTCCCTGCAGTTTCCAATGTTCTCTCTTTCCCAAACCAGTATATTGCTCATGTTGAAACACAAGGTTTGTAAGACCAATGGGTGTATTCTGTTCTATTCTTTCTTGATCCATTTCCCTTTATAGCCACTGCTTGCCCTACTGCTCCTGACAAGGCTTATACTTGAAAGGTATTTATCAGTCTCCAGTAATTCTGTTTTCCTTAATTCATTGCTAGCTCTGGTTTCTTGAAAAACTAAGCCAATCTAATGGTTTACCACCACTAACAGGAGGCTGGCTCTGGCACTCACTGGACTCTTCACTGAACTTATTAAACAACATGAAACTCTCCAGATTTTTTTGCTGAGTTAGTCACTTGAAGTCAAAGAAGGGGTATGGGAGAGCAGGTGATAGAGGACACAGAGCCAAAATCCCTACCTTTTGGCAGCAGTTAGCTGTTAAATCAGCTCACCCCCTTTTGTGAAACTGCAGTCACAGATGTGTTTGGAAAAGCAGAGGACCGTAGAACTCAATATTTTTGTTTGCTTTGAGAACGTAAAATGTCAGATGTCCTCAACTTTTTTTTTTCACTACCGTTACATACGCATTATGCTTATGAATAGCTCAAGCCCACTATTGTCTGTTAGCAGTAGTAAATGCATGATAATTGTTAATACATAGTTTGAATGTAAAGTAGTGTTAGAACATTTTTTTTAATCTTCTCATTTCAGAAAACCTAATTTTCACTTAACTCCTCTTGTTTTCACTGTTTACAGTGTAGGCCTCTATTCCAAGCAAGTTTCTTAGGACATTTTCTGTGGCTGAGAAAGCTACTTTTAGAGAACTTGGGGAAATTAAGTTAGCTTGAACACCTCACTTTCAGGTGACTTAATTGGGAAGGTGTTTCACTCCCACGCTTGTTCAGTCTGTACTGCATTAGGACATATTAGCGTTGCCCTTTTTTGTGCTGCAGATATGACCTGTAGTATTACCATTAAATTGTTTCTTTATTCCAGAATCTAAAAGCAGCCCAGCAAGTTCACCAGTATGATCATGATGTGGATGAAGTAAAGGGCTGGATGCAGGAGAAAGAGGCAGTGGTGGATATAGGAGATTACGGATATGATCTTCCAGGTGTACAGACACTACTCAGCCAGCTTGAGGGAGTAGAGGTAAGGGGATCTGTCATAAAGCAGTGGCAGAAAAGCATAAATGGCCAAAAAAAAAAAAAAAAGGCGACTGATGCTTGATTTAAAATCCTCTCAAGCGTCTTGTTTGCAGGCCAACAAAAGATAAATTTATTGCACCGTGAAATATTCTTTGTGCTTCACAGAAGGCCTTTTCCTCCTGTTTTTAGCATTGTGATATTATGTTACTAATACTTTTGCTTCTAAGGATGAGCTTCTCTTCTAAAACCTATTTTAATTGTTATTGTAATTGCAAAGGTGTCATCCGAAGTACAAGAGACTTCAGCTCCACACTTATCAAAATAATCAGTGTGTCATATCTAAAGAAGCTTCTTTGATGTGGCTAGAAAAGATATGCACCATCTTTAAAATCTGCTTTTGATAGGTGTAAGTAGTGGCTTGGTTTTACAATACATTCTGTCTGTTCCAGAGAGATCTAGGAGCCATCATGAAAGAGCTGGAACGGATTCGGGGAGAGGCTTGGCACCTCAGCCGCACATACCCTCAAGTCAAGGAAAACATCATGGAGAGACTCACAGATGTGGATGAGTGCTGGGAAAACCTGGATAAGAAGTTTCTGGAGAGGAAGGCAAGACTGAGCCAGGCAGAACAAGTCCAGCTCTACTTCAATGACTGCAGGGAGCTGATGTATGTGTTGGCCCCTTGAGCTTGGCAGTGAGCCTTATTTCTTGTCTTTCCCAGACAGGATTTTCTAAATTACACCTGTCAGTTATTTGACTCAAGTGGCAGACCAACATTAAAATATTATATTTTATAATTTTAATGTAATTTTCATGAAAATTGATACACTTTTGATGAAAATTGTGGTTTTAAACAGAATTTCTCACAGAAGAAATATGGACTTTTTTAGTTCAGTGTAGTTAATGAAAGAGTTAATCCATGACAGGAATAGAAATACAAAGACAGTCTAACAAAGTGGTTACCACTGACTATCAGACATTTACTATGCTAAGGGCTAGATCCTGAGCTCAGGTAAATCAAGATGGGTTTATGCCAGTTGAGGCTTACGGAGTAGAAAATTTTCCTTAAAAAGTACCTATCAATATGCCTCTTTGCATGAGTGCTCTGTATGCATATGAAGTGCTTTCATGCATGTTGATAAGGCTGCATGGACATCTGAAAGGCTCTGTGTCTCTGTACCATGTATAAAAGTACTGTGAATGTGTACAGCCAAGGCATTTGCAGTTACAGTTCTTTCTGAGGATTTGAATGCACAATGCTTCAGTACATAAAGATGCTGCAGCTGTTTTTCTAACAGGCTATGTACTGAAACAGCACTGGGAATATTGTATCAGGTTAGAAAAATCCATAGGTGCATGAGTGAACCTTCATCAATGTATTTGTATATTCATATCTTTCATAAGCAAATAAAAGTCTGTATACATGTGTCCACAGCCACGGGATGTGTGCATTCCTGAGTATCCAACAGACTCGGATTCCTTGTGTTTTTACCCTGTGGACTCTGTTCTGTAGGGCCTGGGCCAACGAGATGCATGCACTAGTGATATCTGAGGAACTGGCAAATGATGTCCTGGGAGCTGAACTGCTTATCAAGCGTCATGAGGAATACAAGCGTGAGATAGAGAAGCAGTGGCTAAAATATGAAGAAATGCAGCAGGCAGGAGGTGACCTGATGAAGAATGGACACTTCATGTCTGTGGAGGTGTGTTGATGAGTTTAAATATTTTACAAACAAGAGTGAACAAAGACGACATTAAATAGGCCGGAGCTGCAGCTTTGTCTCTCTTTCAAAACAGAGTAACTAAACAGAACAATCAGGTTCTCTACTATTAAAAGCTGCAGACTTCATGTGATGTAGAAAAAGAAAACACCTTTTAAAGTTCTTGTTTCTCTAAAAACTGATTTTGAAGCTGACCATAAAAGAACAGTCACTGGATTGATTATGGCTGGGGGGGCATAAGGAGGTATTGCTATTCCACAGAAAAGATGTGCCACATAAATGAGATTTTAGCGTTTACACAAGACCTAGGATAAAATACATCACCCTGCAATCAACTATAGGATGGAGTGATGCCCCTGAGTACACCAGAAGGTATGTCATTCTTCAGAAATGTTATAGAGCCAAAGGGGCAAGAATGTTAAAATTTCTGTGATCCTGTTATCTATGTACCTTTGGATTTTGACCGTCACAGTGGTCCCAAGCTTATCTTGATACTGTCAGTAGATCCAGAGATCACACCATTAAAAACATCTTCAGAATTTATGCAAGATTACTTCTATTGTAGAAAGAATTGGAGAACTTTCCACAGTTTAAGGCTCTCCATTGTTGCCTTGTCATAAATGGATGTATTTGTTGAATCTTCTGATTCTCACTAGTTCTATAATATCAATTGCCTGGGTATAAAGTTTCATCATGGTATAGCATATAGCAGAATATTGGTCACACGGTATGTGGAATATGCATACAATTATATTATATAGTTATGCAACATGCAGGCTAAATGAATTCAAGGAAGAAAAATGAGGGCTCAGACACCCTTTCTAAACTATGTTCACACCACAAAGTTATCTAGAGGTCATCTTCTGGATCATGAGGGCAGATTACCTGCTAGTTGTCTGTCACAGGGAAGTCTGATTGGATTTTTCACTTCCTGGCATTGCAAATGTTATTTTTCTAGATTGAAGAAAAACTGTTAGAGCTGTCAGAGCTGATGAAGAAGGTAAAGGAGAGCTGGGACATGAGGAAAGAGTTATATGAAGAAAACTGGGAGATTCAGTTGCTCCGCAGAGAGCTAGAACAAGCAGAAGCATGGCTGGCTGCCAAGGAGAGCTTTCTTTCAGATCCTAGCTATGGGGTGAGTAATGACAATGTAACACTATTGAAATGCTCTTTGGATATACAGAGTGCTTGGAGCACGTATCAGCTTGGGCCTGAAGTTAATCACAATCTAAATAGTCATGCACCCTTGAAATTACAAAGAGCAGTAGCTCTGTCCTCTTGCAGCAACTGTCTTGGGCTTACTTCTTTATTTTATACAGTGATGAGCTCCAGGAGATGGTGGCTTCCAGGGGGGAAGAAGACTGGGGAGAATTCTAGACCATTTTTTCACATAATAAGATAACTTGCAGAGGGTTCAACCTTCCCTGTCATGCCGAGAGCCTGTTCCAAAAGGAAAAAGGGTTTTTCCCCACCTTGTGTTGGGTGGTAGAATGCACATGCATTTTACATGGATGGCTTGATAGCTAGCTTGTAAATTCCTGTTTAAACACCAGCATCCATATATTTCTCTTTTTTTCCTGTTGTTGACTGTCTTCTGGTGATTTGCAAGGTGGGAGAACAATGTCAGGTATTGAAAACTAAGCAGAGAGCAAGACAGAGGTTCAAGATGCATGTGTTGTAGGGCAGGAATAAACTCTGTGTCTAGCACAAGCTGGAACTTAAATACTTAATCTGTATGTAAACAGTTACAGTTGAAAGCCATGGCACCACATGGCTTCTCAGAAAAAAATGAAGGTTGTTATTTGAGCTCTTTTTTTCATGTACAGCAATCAGACTGCAAGCTACAGGCATTTTTTTTTTCTTTTTAAGTGTAAATTAAGATTTTTTTCACACAGTACCAGGTGTTTAGACATTCAATTACAAAAATTTCAGAATCATCATCTGGCTAAATAGAATGGGTAAATCTGAAAATCTTAGGCATAATCTCTTCCAAAGGACTTGATTTTGGACTTCTGTATCTGATAATTTTTCCATCCAGGATTCAGTATCTGAAGTAGAGGAATTACTGAAGAAACACCATGATTTTGAGA